CGTATTTACGTATTATAGGTGCGTGATAATTTAAAATTCAATATCTTAGCTGCGCACAAGGGCAACGAGACACGAGACGAGCCAGCTGCTTTTATCGCTTGTTTATTTAATTAGAAGTTTATCGAGCCGAGCTAGTTATTCGGGCTCTAATCTTTCGACTGTCGATATTTAACGGTGAGCATGGGACGAGGAGGCCGCCGAGTTAGCATTGATCTTTTAATTATCTGCATATCGACTGTTTTGTCGTTTAAATTTCAAGCAAACTCATGTATAAATAAAGATACGAGTGCGTATGGAGAAGGCGAAGGGTGTACGAGCGAGGGTAATATTATGGGCAAATGTTGGTCGCCGTGTGACCGTGTGGGTCGGCAAAATAGTCCGTTACGTAAAGTCATAGGTTTTGAAATAAAGTTTGAGTAAAATTCGAATATACGTGCTAAGCTGAGTACATTCGTATAAATGTATAAGTGTAGCGTTTGAATATTATGATAATCACTTGTGGTGGTAATTGTATGGTGAAAATTTATAATTAATAATAAATATTTCGCTTCAGTCACGGTCCAGTGCCCGTCATCCTCGATCCTATGCAACAGTCATCGTGGATTAAATAATCAAATATTAAGTTTACGTGTTCACGATGTCAAGCCCCCCATTGATAAACGAACAATAAAACATGTACCATGGAAATGGAATGGAATCGAATGAAACGCACAGGGCTAATGAAGTAAGCGAATTTTGAGGATCGAAAGGATTTTTACACGAATTTCGCTCGAACATGCGAATACTCGAGGAGTCGATGTTTCTAATTTAGATTAGGATGTGCCTGGGAATAGATAAATTTAGTAATAGAACGCGGCACTCGCATTACGTAAAAAAATGAAGAGAAAAAAATAATAAGTCACCTTCGAAAAATCTTTAATTATCGAGTCGGCTAACGGGCGAGGCCGTACTTGATGAGCTTGAAAGAAAAGAGGCGTTCACTTAAAAAGCAACTTTGTTTCGCGCCATCTCCTCGTAAACCTTGCGCGGAATACCAATTAATGAGCGAGATTTCTTCGGGAGTGAAGTAACACGGTATTTTTGAGCCATTAGTAAAAATAAAAAAAGGAAAAATAAAATCCCAATCGAGCGGCGGGAAGGGGAAGAAGCGTCGGTATGGTGGACCGACGAGTGGCATGGGACACTTTTGTTGCCTGTGTGCGTGTGCGTGTGTGTGTCTGTTTGTGTGCTTGAAGGAAGACGCACCGCTAATGATCGCACCTTTTCATCCGGCTAATCTTGGCGACTCCCCGCCCAATCAATTTCTACATGCAAGCATTAAATAAACAGACAAGTGTCTTACCGATGTTCTGCGTAGCTTTCGCACGAATTCGCACGAGGCTCGTTCTTTTTACTTTTTCTTTCACTCACTTTTTGCCCTCTTTCTCTGCCTCCCTTTATTTTTTAGCTTTTTTCTTTATTTATTAATTTTATTATTACTTTTGTTTTTATTATATTTTTGCTCATTTCCGGACACAACAAATACGAGAGAGCGTGAGAGAGAGAGAGAGAAAGAGAGAGAGAGAAAGAGAGAGTGTGTATGGAACTCGCGCGCGTTCGCGTTCGCCTCTGAGTGGTTGTGTATGAGATGGAGTTAACAGAACATGAGGAGAGGAGACAGAAACAGAGAGAGAGAGAGAGAGAGAGAGAGAGAGAGAGAGAGTTTGAGTGAAGAAGAGGCCATTGCCCACTCACCGGGGGGAAGCTCGTTAATTACGCTCCCACAGGATTGGGCCGCGCGACCGCGTCCGGCTTATCAACGCACTTTTTTATCGGCCTATCCACAACTGTAGAAACAAAGTAAACCATGGGGAGATGAGAGGAGAGGAGAGGAGAGTGAGAGAGTGAGAGAGTGAGAGTGAGAGAAAGAGAGAGAGAGAGAGAGAGCGAATGGATCGATCCTTGAGGCATTGTGTCGCGGCTATTTTTAATTGCGTGCGTACGCGCACAAGTAGCACAAGCAGTCGCTTCTTGGCGATTATTGAGTGGAAATAAATACGCGTTCGTATCACAACAGCCCCCTTCCCCTATAAACATACTAATGGCCGACTCCCGTTGATAAGCCGGCGGTTGAGACTTATCGGGAGGCCGCCGCCGCGGCTTCTCGTCAAGGCCCGACCGAAGAATCGTCTAATTCCCCGAGGCCGAGACGCGCCAATGGCAAAAAGGAGCATCAGGAGGGCCGAGAGCGTCGCAGACGCGGCGACGGACGAGGGAGATAAAGGGGTCCGGAGGTAAGGAGGGTTAGTAGCCGTTGTAACGCTATCGAGGCTGTCGCTGTACATCACGTCGACAGCATCCTAGCGCGGCTGCAGCACGGAGCTGCTCCTTCTCGTTTTCTCGCTTTCTCTCGGCTCGCTGGACACGCTGCGAGCAGTCCCCCGACGAAGGATGGGTGAGGTCGGGCCGACGGGGGTACCGATCGGCAGGCAAAGGACTGACGCGCACGCGCGAGGGAGTCGAAAGCGGAAAGCGCGGCGGCGAGTCTAGGCTCTAGGTCGAAATTAACGAGTACCAGCTTTACGCTTAATTGAGTCGGAGGCGCGAGATAGGCGCGCGCACGCGAATTAGCCTGTAAGGGAGGCTGGTTGTATCGGGCCGATCGGCTTTTACTGCTCAAAGCGTCCCACGCGCGGGCGCGCGCGCGCCTGTCCACAATGGAGCGGGAGGCAGGAGGAACAGGAGGAGGGGGGAAGCCGATGAAGAGAGCCAGCAAGAGCATAGCGTGGACGTGACTGCGAGCTATATCTCATTGGGAGAAGGAGGAGGTGACTTTAATGTGCCCCTCGTCTCGCTTTGTCTCTCTTGCTCCCGCCCCCGCCACCACCCCACACCGCGCAAAACCGAGTAAGATCGTTAATCTTCTCAGCGCCGATCGCCCTCGGATAGTAATTGTTACGTTCTCGGCTCTGCTGCTGCCGCTCGGACGCCGGTGCGCTCGCAGTAGAAGTGCGGAATTGCGAGCGCCTTCTCCCTCCTTTTTGTCTCACACTCTCACACACGCACACACATACACACTCTCTCTTTCTCCCACACACACACTCTCTCACTCTCTCTCTATCTATCTACCTATTTCTCTCACTCACTAACTCTCCCACCCCCTCTCTCTCACTCTCTCTCTCTCTTTTTATTTGTGCGAGCGCGCAACGACTCATAAATTTCGGGTTCCCGCCCCGAAATCGACGCGCTTCGAGATACCAGACGTGAACGAGCTGGAAAAGAAGATGTCGAGTCAAGAGAGAGAGAGAGAGAGATAGAGAGTGAGTTGGGTAAGGGGGGTGAGTCAAGGGGATGGGGATGGAGTGATGGGAAGAAAGGGTGGAAGAATGAGAGAGATAGAGAGTGAGTGAGACGGGATCAGAATCAGAAGCAGCGGTAGGATGAGGCGACGGAGAAGTTGGAGGAGGAGATGGGGAAGCCCGTCGGAGGAGTCAACAGGCCGCGATAAGCCAAGAGAAATAGGTGAGAAGGAAAAATGCAAATTGACACGGCGCTCGTTCAAGCGACTTTATCGTGAGTGTAATGCTCGACTTTATAGCCCGGCGCGAAGGGAGCGCGCGTGCGAAATTTGTACCCGGAGGAGGACGGGAGCGCGGCTGAGTGCGACTCTTAATCTTCCTCGCGCTCACTGGGGAAGGGAGACGGAGCCGCGACACGAGAGAAGAGAAAAACCAGTTCCCGGCCGGTGGACTGAACGCGAGAGTCAGCGAGGGAGACAGAGATAGAGCCAGATATAGAGAGACAGTAGAGAGACAGACACAGGGGACAGAAACAGAGACACACTGCGTGACGGGGGGGGGGGGGGGAGAAAAGCGT